ATATATACTATTTCACAAATATGCCGATCGAGATGGCTGAATCAGTCATCATCGATGATTAGTCATTATTATCTCACAGAGTCAATATAGCAAATACTCGATTGCTGGCATTGCTACAACATTTTTTAGAGATATATAAATAATCTAAATTAGACAGAATTAATTTACTTTTATTATGGGGCGAGGCAGTGGCGCAGTAGGTAGTGCTGTCGCCTCACAGCAAGAAGGTCGCTGGTTCGAACCTCGGCTCAGTTGGCGTTTCTGTGTGGAGTTTGCATGTTCTCCCTGCCTTCGCGTGGGTTTCCCCCGGGATCTCCGGTTTCCCCCACAGTCCAAAGACATGCGGTACAGGTGAATTGGGTAAGCTAAAATTGTCCGTACTGTATGACACTGTGTGTGTGGATGTTTCCCAGAGATGAGTTGCGGCTGGAAGGGCATCCGCTGTGTAAAAACTTGCTGGATAAGTTGGCGGTTCATTCCGCTGTGGTGACCCCGATTTAATAAAGGGACTAAGCCGACAAGAAAATGAATGAATGAATGGATCCATTATGATGAAGGAAATAATAGCAAGTTAATATGTATAGGCTATAATACATCTTCATTTGTAATATTAATTTAATAAATAAATGTATAACACTATAATAATATTTTACTCCAGCAATTTAATAATATTTATTGGCTTAATTTTCTAATGACTTTTTAAAATAATGATTTCCTACATTAAATACTGTAGTAATTTTAAGATCCTGAATTAGTTTATTACACTTAATCCTACAATTAGTCTATTATGTTTTCTTTCTATGTGGATACTAATACTTTCTATTTACATAATTTGAGTTAATGGATTCATTATAATGAATGAAATAATAGCAGGTTAATATGTATAGGCTATAATACATTTTTATATGTAATACAAAACTTTTTTAAATTTAATACATGTATAAAATTTTTTAATATTTTACTCCAGCAATTTAATAGTATTTATTTGCATAATTTTCCAATGACCTTTTTTTTATTAATGATTTCCTACATTAAATACTGTAGTAATTTATAGTTAGTAATATATTAATTTTATATTGCTATATAGTGTTTTAAACCATAACGTACTGGTAATTTCTGGTAATTATAGTTGCAAGAAATATATTAATACAAACATTATTGTTCATTAAAAAATTATTTTAACCAAGTATGACAACATTAAGATCCTAAATTAGTTTATTACACGTCATCCTACAATTAGACGGCCTATTATGTTTTCTTTGTATGTGGATAAATGAATAAAGTCATAAGTGTTTAACTAATTATTTTTATTTACATAAATTGAGTTCTAAAACTGCACAGATGTTAAAATGATTGTTACAATATAATGAAATATTGACTGAAATGGGAAGCCCTAAACTGTTCCCAGTCTAATAAATGGCAATCGTAGCACGCTCAATTACCAAATTTATGAAATTCAGTAGGTGGCGATAGTGCTTCTAAGCAGTAAGTCATCGTTAAAAAAGAAAAAAAAAACAGAAGAATACTGATCTGTCATTAACCATATCCGCTTGTTAGGTGGTGACTTATGTAATACTGTTTCCGGGTCCAAGCCGCCATTCATTTGAGTTGAGAAATCATTTGTTTATGATCACTTTTAATTAATATCACACATTAAAGTTAATTTTATATAAGTCATAGTGTACACAACAATCTCTGGGCTTGCTTCATAACAAATACCAACATTTTTACAATTTATAAAAAAAAAAAAATCACTTTCTAGCCATTGGATATTAGGCATGGACATGTATATTGCAATCGTGATTTTCGAAAGTATTAAATCACTTTGTAAACGTTTATTATTACCATTTCATGGGTCTCCCCATTCAGCTGAATAGAGCGCTTGGACCCGGAAGCCACTTCGCGTGACGTCACACTTAACAAGCGGATACGGTTTGCCTAGATTGTGTATGCTAGATTGTGTGTGTGCCTGAAACTTGTGTGGGTCTGCGAGTCTGCAGCTGGATATATCTCAAAAACGTAGCTCCTGGGAAGTGTTTGGCGTTCTACAGAAATGTATATAGGTGTACATATTTAGAATGTGCCTGAGTTGTAAAAATTTATTACAGAAAATGTTGACGTGTTTTTATTGCCAATATTAGGTGTCAGTTTTTTGTCATTTTTACATGAAGGTGAAAATGACATCACATTTTAATTTTGACATTTGTTTATAGACATGTTTTTCTGTTGTGCTAGCTGGGTAGGGTCTCAAGGCATCATCATCTTTTTTGACTCTTTACCTATAGCCATTAACTTGCGTTGAATCGCCAAAGACCACAGTTTCAGCTAAAAATCTTCTTCTTTAATAATCTACTGAAGAACAAAATGTCACCTACATCTTGGAAGACCCGAGGGTGAGTAAATTAACAGCAAATTTTCATTTTTGGCTGAACTATATATAAAGTTTCCAGCTCCAAGGGATCTACAGCACTTAAAACTGACTATATTATCCAGTGCTGAAGATACACATTTCACATTAGCAAAACAGTGATGACAGAAACCTGGAATTACAAGTTTGCAATATATATATAACTAAATCAACACCTTTGCATTGTGTCATGTAGGAGATAACCGTGATAGTTAGTGTTGTTGAAAAGATAATGATTATCTAATGGGAAGGATTTGCACTCCCTGATGCAGAATGCACTGTATATTCACACACACACATAGACATAAACAGTCAATCAGTGATTGGCTGGCACCTGCAGAGAGGTTCTTGCACTTATGTTCCATCTTGAGGCATCTATATAATCAAAGAAGTGTTTATCCGTGATAGTGGATGTCATTAAAACGCCTTCTGTCTGCATCTCTCGCACTAGGCGCAAGCAAAAAACAGCCTGTATAACAAATATACAGTCACTCAATCTCTCTTCTCTCTCTCTCTACATTCCACTCTCTCTTTTTCAAGTGTTCTCAAAGCTGTCTTGAATCCCTAATGATGGAAAGAAAATGAATCTAGATGTAAGAAAATGAATGTATGTAATCATTGCTCATTGCTCGCTCCAAATGAGAAGCACCAGAGCTCACGTTGATGTAATTTTAACATTTTTATGTTATATAAGATAGATAGATAGATAGATAGATAGATAGATAGATAGATAGATAGATAGATAGATAGATAGATAGATAGATAGATAGATAGATAGATAGATAGATAGATAGATAGATAGATAGATAGTGGATGGATGGAAGGACGGACAGATAGACAAATGGATGCATAGATGGATGAATGATGGAAGGATAAACAAATAGACGGACAGTCATGGATGGATGGATGGATGGATGGATGGATGGATGGATGGACGGTTGCATGGATGGACAAACAGACTGATGATGAATGGACAAACAAATAGATAGATAGATAGATAGATAGATAGATAGATAGATAGATAGATAGATAGATGGATGGATGGATGGATGGATGGATGGATGGATGGATGGATGGATGGATGGATGGATGGATGGATGGATGGATGGATGGATGGATGGATGGATGGATGGATGGATGGATGGATGGATGGACAAACGGACGAACTATGGATGGATAAACAGATTTTCACATTTTTGTTATATAAGATGGATGGATGGATGGATGGATAAATGGATAGATAGATAGATAGATAGATAGATAGATAGATAGATAGATAGATAGATAGATAGATAGATAGATAGATAGATAGATAGATAGATAGATAGATAGATAGATAGATAGATAGATAGATAGATAGATAGATAGATAGATAGAAACAGATATAATACAGTTTACCCTGGTGTTAAGTCCAGTGACCTCATGGGACATTAGATTACCTAGTACTGAGAGATGCTAAAAGACTGGCCATATCGCACAGCTGGCTAAACACACACACTCATACACACAACCAAGCGCCTCGTTTCATTTGCTCAGCCAAAGTAATCACCCTTAGGCTCTCATCTTTCACTCTAGAAATACCGCGGACACTTATTTCTTTATCATGTTTTATTTATGCTTTATTGCATTGTCAAATAAATCCAGTGCCTTTTTTTAAAATCATATTGCGTCCACTCTTCAACTCGACGCATTTCTCATTTCCCAAGCCTGTGCAGCCGCGGCACAACACCGCCACCTAGCGGTTATATTTAGTACAACAACCCGTGATTAGCTTAAAAAAAGTCAAATGTCCTTCAAACACACTTGTATTTGTTTGTTTGGGTATGTATACTGCATATAAACATGGCAGATTTCCAAACCGCTAAATGTAAACAAACTTGAGATAAAGCACGTAGCTGTTCTTAAGAAAGTCGTGTGGAGATAATATTTATCATCTTTTGGGGTCTTGTAGGGGCGGCCATTGATCCGTTAATTAGCACACGGATGTGAAGGCCTCCGTATTGACAGTTTGTGCTCGGTAATGAGAATCCCTGCGGGACACCCAAATCAATGGAAGTCACAAGGGACACGCGGTTGTTTGGAGCTGAGGAAGCGGACATTTTTTTTTTCCCTGAAAGAGAATGTAAGGTAAGCTTAACTCCAGAACATTTAGGAAACGACTTTCTTGGTTTTATAAAAGGTAATGATCAATTATATCCTGTATCCCAGCGAGTGCCGGATGCTTTTCACAAATGCCTTTAAATTACAAGTACCTAATTAATGATTGACATGTAGGCTACACCAGACATTTGACCCCTTTATCGCTAATTAAGTTTCCAATTATCCCAGCAGACACATGTTTGATGAAAATATATAGTCCAATCTATCTATATATAGTTTTATCAAATGTTTTTTTTTTTTACTGAATGAAAAAGCGATAGATATAGATAGATAGGACTATATATTTTCATCAAACATTATTTTTAAATGAAATTATAAAGATAGATAGATAGATAGATAGATAGATAGATAGATAGATAGATAGATAGATAGATAGATAGATATATTTTAAAACTAATGCAATCAATGTTTCATAAAATTGTCCACACATTACTGAATGTCATCTGTTCTTTATTTTCTTGAGCTAGTTTTCATTCCAGAATTTTAAGAGTTTGGCTTCTGCAATTTGTTCACTTTTTGATTGACCTTTTAAAGAAACATTCATTGTAGGTCTTTATTCATTTGGATTTTGGTGTAAATTGTTCTTATATATATATATATATATATATATATATATATATATATATATATATATATATATATATATATATATATAAACTGTGGCAAACACATTTATTTTTAAATCTTATTTCTTTCATGAAAAAGGCAGAAGATTCGAAACACTGACTATAAGCGTAGGTTACAGTTGAAAACACACAAATAATAGGGCATTCAAGACATAATAAACATTCATTCTAACAGTTCGTATGGGATTGATTTGCAAATCTACATCATTTATGGATGGTCATAAACATCATACAAGATGCTCAGAAGAATAATTCGCTTTGGTGGGTCTTTTTAAAGCACAGTGTGATTTGTCTAAGGCCCCGGAACAATCTGACAAAAGTCAATAGCAGCCTAATAGTCTGAAGCTAATCAAAAGAAAAAAAACATTTCACAATCAGCCTGGAATTGAAATGACAAGAGTAAAACACCTGGATCCGCATTCCACTCGATGAGATTTATGATGGCCATGTCTTGAAACAAATGTCTAGCCAAAATAATAGAAGCATGCTTTGTAATAAATTACGAACTGATTTTCGAGTCTAGCAGAAATAAGCTAAATTGTCAGACAAGCTGCATGTACATTCTGTCCAAACAAACAACAACAATAAAACAATCCTAATGCGATGAGAACGAAGTAAAGTTTACTGAAGAAATGTATTGAGACTCATTAAACTACGAAAACTACTTTCTTTTATTTAGACTCATTCGTCTTCATGGTGTTCGAAAAACTCATGGCAACAGATGGTAACCATGGTGACGAAGGTCATGAACTCCTGGAAATCACACTCCGAGTCGCCATCGGTGTCCAAACTTTCCATCAAACTGTCCATTGTAGCTTGGTCTTTCACTTGCTAGGGGAGACAAAAAGAGAGTAACCTTCAGAATCACGAATTTGGCTAATTCGGCTTAGCTAAAAAAGTCGTAGCTTCTCTCAAAGTTATGTAACTCTCTGCCTTTGCACATTTGCCAAGTGGATACTATTTCCAATCTTTAATTTCAGATAAACTTTTTTTGTTTAGGATAGCTTTTAATGTTCTGCTGTTTTATTATCCTGTCTATTGCTTTTTACAGCTTATATTTTTATTACATGCTTGCGATATACTGTAAGGTGTCCTTGAGTGCTTTGAGAGGTGCCTATAAATAAAAGGTATTATTATTATTATTATTATTAATTCTAAAATAAAGCTTTGATTGAAAATTTTTAGGAAGATGTGTGTGAAAAAAAATACTTTATTAAAAGTCAGATATACATGTGTGTGCTATGCAGCTCCTAGATCCATGTTTCATTCGTCCACACTCAATTTCACTCTTATATATATTTTTTTTATTTATTTTAAAATACTTTGACTTTCTGACATTTGTTCACCTTGTGTATTTATCATGTGAAGAAACCCTCAATGTTCATTAAGCATGATCAGACCAGATTTGTGTACATTGGAAACAGTCACAAACACAACAAATGTTTGTAGACACTTGCAATTGACACAATTTCAGCATAATTACAAACCAATTCACATAATTTCAAACCAACTGACAAACAACTTGGCATAATTACAAACAAGGCGCTGCTAATTTTTCAAAACTAAGTATAGTTTGGGAAAAAGAAAGGTTTTAGTAAAAAAAAGTAATGTTTTATCAGTTCGCCCACACTTTACTTCATGAGTTTATTATTGTATATTTTATTATTGTATGTTCATTTTAAAATTCTTAAAGTTTGGCTTTCTGTTTTTTTATGAGAGAAAACATTCATTGTAAGGTCTCATTTATTACCCACAAATACACTAAATTTAAGTACCATGGAAAGATTCACAAACACAATAAATCTGTGTAGATATTAGGCATGGGGCGGTATAAGTTTCTGACAGGATAAAAATACCAGGGTTTTACAGTATCACAGTATTGTGATAACTGCTCTAAAATAAGTTAATTTTAAATGTTTGGGTAAAACTAAAAATCTGAACACAGTATATTTTATTTTAGGAAACATTTATAATATTTTGGAAAAGCAAAAGTCAGGCTAAATAGTTCAAATAAATCATTGACTTCTGCAGTCTTCAATTTTAAAAAACACAGAAAAAATACACTAAACAACCCTGACATATACCTTAGGAACGGTATAACAGAAAATCTTAGCGGTTTTAAAACCTTGACTTTTTCAAACCAAGGCAAACCAGTTATTGTCCTATGCCTAGTAGAAATCATTTTTTCACAACTGACACAATGCTGGGATAAAGCTGTGATAACTAATCAAGCATTCCTAATATTTCAAGACAGTGTAGTGTGAAAAAACAAAAACGTTGACCTCAATACAAGTCTGAAACTACGCAGACACTCGATTAATTTAGTGCTTCCGAAATTTGCCAAAACATTCCTTGAATATTCTTTGTACAGTACTTCATCTTGTTTCGCTTTCATAATTTGTCTACCTTGTACAGAAACATTAATTGTAGGTCATTTTTCAATAAAGGAATATTTCACCCACAAATTAAGGGTTAGAGTTTCTTTCCTCTATTAAACACAAAAGTATTTTGAAGAAAACTGTAAAGTCGTAACCATTGATTTCCATAGTAGGAAAAGCAAATTCTGTGGAAGTCAATGGTTACAGGTTTTCAGCATTCTTCACGATGTCTTCTTTTGTGTTCATCAGAATAAAGAGTCTCATAAAAGGTCTGGAACAACTTGAGGGTGAGTAAATAGAGAGTAAATTATTTTTTGGGGGGGTGAAATATCCCTTTAAGTATAGATGTGTGTACTTTTTTCTGTTGTAAACTGTCAATATGTAATATTTTGACACCCATTTTTCTTCTATTTACACAATTTTTAAAAAGTGTACAGTGAAAAATATCTTTACCTTAATAAAAGTTGAAAAATCAAGCATGAGTGGATATTCAAAGGGACACATCACCCAAAAATGTCAATTTAACTCGCGTGGTTCTAAACTTTTATGAGTTTTTGTCTTCTGTTGAACACTATAAGTTAGTTTGAAGAGTAGTTTGGCAAATTAAAGAATAGTTTGACAACTTAAAAAATAGTTTGACAGCTTGAAGAATAGTTTGACAGCTTGACAGTAGTCTGAAACTTAAAGATAATTTGAAAAATGTTGGAATATTGCCATTAACATCGATAGTAGGAACAAAACATACTATGAAAGTCAATAGCATTTTTCTCCCAACATTCTTCGGTATATCTTTTTATATATATAAAAAAAATAAAAAACACAACCATTAAATCTACATAACTTGAACATTATCAGTTCATTATTGTCATTACGTGATTTTCTTTCCATAAATTTTACAATTTGACACCAGTAATTTGTTACCTTCTGGTCGACTTTGTAAAGAAACATTAATTCCAGAGTTGTTCATTAGGCATGATCATAATAAATTAGTATAAATTTTACACTTTTTAACACAATAACTAGCAAACAAAGATTTTTTTACACAGTTCTGACAATCACTTTATTATAAAACACATATTCCCAAGTTTTCGAATCAAAAACAAAAAAAATTACCTCAGTGAGAGTTGGAAACTCATGCGTGAGCAGCTCCTTGAGTTCACTCTTTTTTAATTTGTACTTGTCTCCTTCTTTCGACGAGTATTTGTGGAAGACTTCAATGATGGTTCCCAGGCAGTTCTCTAAGTCTGACATCTTAATGTGCTGCAGCGACGCTCAACGTTTCCTGGAATAATTACTAAAAATGTGAAAAATGCTTGATAGCAATTTCAAGCTGTTTAACTTTTTCCCTCAAATGTCTGCAAACAAGTTTAAGTGTCGGAGCAATTTTATAGACCATTAAGTTTCGTTCTGTCTTTCACTTTTGCAAACACATTTCTAGTCATTATGTAGTTTTTTTTTTTTTTTTTTTTGCAATTTCATCCTCAGTTTGGAAAAGCTTGGAGCAAAATAAGCTTTAAAAACATTGGAATGATAAATAAAAACGTACTAGACTTACCAGCAGAGAGTTTGTCAGAAAGAGGCGATTCTGCAGAGGGAGATGAGAGTCCATTTATAGGTCTGAAAAGGAGGAGCTTGGAGATTTGAGATTCTGTGCTGTCAATCACTGGATCTGACCAATCAGCTTCTTAACTTGTTCTCACTCCACTAGACACACATTTAAAGTCCAGAACAAAGGGGTGAATATATTCACACACACACACACACTCATAGTGTTACACTTGCGACTTCTGCTATAACATGCATAAACTTTTACTGTAATAATTAATTAGTTTTATGCCATTTTAGCTTAATATTAGAATTTATATTAAGTGTATTTATTGTTTTATCAGTATTTTATTGTCCTTTCATGATTTTCATTTCAAAGTAATCATTTAAAGTAGCCAATTCTGTGCACAAAGGCTGCATTTATTTGATGGAAAACACAGTAATAATTGTGAAATAATATTACAATTAAAAAAAAACTGTTTCCTTATTGATTGTAGTTGTAAATTAGATTTATTCCTGTGATTCAAAGCTGACTTTCCATCATCATTACTTGTCTTTAGTGTCACATGATCCTTTGGAAATATGATATAATATGATGATTTGCTGTTCTGTTATGATCAGCTATTGGTACACAATCACTAATAAGGATTTCGTACAATTATTAGTGATGAATTTTCTTGTCTTCATGTATTGTAGAAAATGTGATATATTTTACATATGGGGATACTTCGATAAAAAAATAAAGTTCTAAATAATAATTCTTAGCACACATAAAATGTTAACAAATCTTACTGTTTCCAAACAGGTTTATTCCAACACAATCTCATGGCAATTCATAACTTTTTGATTTTTGAATCTAATTTGTACAATTTCATATGATTTGCTCATCGCACAATGAAGGTTGGGTTTAGGGGTTGGGTGCCACGCCTCCTTTTTAAAATCACACAATTTCGTATTACTGAACTCGTACGAATCCGTTTGAATTAGCCACTAAACTCACAAAACCTAAAATACTTACGTTTTCTCGTGAGATCAGGCTGTTTATTCTTTTATTTAATGTTTTATTCAGTCCTTTCAGTCTGTTCTCAATACATAAATTTTTTTTCAGGCCATAAGCAAGCTATACGAGTTTATATGCAAAAACAGAACTCAGTTTTTATTCATTTTTTTGTTGCAAAGGTTTTTGCAAATGGATTCTTCAAATGTTTAGTTGTTTTCCTTTTCTATTTTAACAATTTAATTCTTTAATAGTAAAAAGCTTTGTTTTATGATTAATGTGTTTAGCAGCTTGTTGTTTTTCAGTTTTATAAATATCGTATTAAGTGTTCTTATTGTTTGAACAACCCTTTTTTGATGATTCATTGTCCTTTAATTGTGTTTTCCAAATAAAATCATTTTATCTAAACATAAAGTTTGTCTTGTCCTCTCACTTTAGGTTATAAGTAAATATAAAGAGTTAATTTGCCAAAAAAAAAAAAAACAGATACCTCTGTTTTTATTAATTTTCAAAAATCATCTTTTATATTTATGAAAAATACTTTTCTATTTTTGCTAATGAACTTTTTATATTTTAATGTACTCTTCATAAACTCTTCATATACTTTTATATATTTTTCCCTTTCTATTCTGATATGCAAAACATAACTTTTTGTAGAGTCGAAAAATGTGTTTCTGTATAATAAGTTCAATTTAATGATCAGTTTATTGTTGTTTTTCAATTTCAGAAGCTTAAGCCTTGTATTGTGATGTTTCGAAGTAATCCTCTTTTCTATACCGTAATCTGGTTTTATGGCCATAAGCATGTATATGTTGTTTTTTTTTTTTTATCTCTTTCTGTTCTGCTTTTGATCTTTCCCGAAGTTCTGTTGCCCATAATCGCACACAAGTGTTTTGTTGTCAAGCGTCTCGGTGGACGACAATGGTGTGTTTGAGAGGAAGTGAGTGGTGTGGCATATTAATCAGACGATCCTTTTCTGTTATGGAATTGGCCAGACGTGTGTCCTAAACACCAGCGGACTGTTAAACAGCTCTGACACTGAGACAAACACTGACTCACACACTACTCTGAATGATGTTCTCTACATTTTCAGGGAGTTTTAGCTTACACTGTAAAAAATAAATTCCACACAATCGATTTGTGTAGGGAAAACATTAAGGAATGAAGTTAACTTATTACTTCATTTATAATTACCTTATTTATAAGTGAAGTGAACATAAAACAATTAAGTTGCCCAGAAAAAAATCAAGAATTGTGTTGTTTCAGCTCTTTTTATTTAAGTAGTTTGAACAAACGTCATTTTTGAGTGTGTATAATCTTCTTTAAAATACATATTTCAGTTAATACTACTACTTATAATAATAAATCACAATAATAATAATGAAAGTGTGATTTTTTTATGTAAAATATATTACTATAGCTATTAATAATATGCAATTGCTTATTTATTATTGTTTCTATACAATGTATGTTTATTGACTGAATAAATAATAATAATGAATATTATAGTAATTGCTTTTTAAGTTTATTATTAATTATGATATCAAATATATTATGTATGTGTTGCTATATATTGTACATAAATAAGGCAATATAATCATTGACCGTTTGAATTTTATTAAAGGCTACTAATAATATTAATACAGACAATTGGCACGAGTTGGCACGAGACACGAGGCCGCAGGCCGAGTGCCATAGTGCCCCCACCAGTGCCGATATACAGCCATATCGCACTGCTACTTGTGTGATATTGCGTTTATACAACAGTTTGACAGCATAATTAAGTATATAAAAACAAAATCAAACATGGAGAGTCTCAAAAACCCTGTTGTATGAGGAACTACTGTACTTTCTTCCGCCTTGGATTCAAATCATAAGCTGACAGTTAAACAGCTGAGCAAACATCTTTTAACCTTTAGATCTGTAGTGTCTGCTTTTTGCTGGCTGTATGTGGGCGGAGTAATACACAAAGGGTAAAGAGGCTGTACGGGTGCTGATATTACTTAAATATATCACGGCTATCAGCCAATCAGATTGAAGAACCAGACAAAACTGTTGTATAACTATATATATATATATATATATTACATGTAATGATTTTATTTCCAATTTTTATTGAATTATATTTTCAGTATTTAATATTATTGTATTATGATGTTTTATATAGTTGCACTGTTTACATCTATTTCTCTATAATTGTCCCATAATGAGTGAAATCTGCTGTCATGAACTCCATTATAAAATAGAGGAGGCTCAAAGGAATGCGGTCACGGGGCGCTACGATCCTCCATCCCACTTTTTTTCCTGGCGTTCGCCGGACGCTTGCCGGTTGTCGGACAGTCGTTTTTTTCCGCCATAATAAATGTGTCTTTGTGGCCTGATCCACGCAGCACAAGCAAACTGTTGTTGATGGCAAACACTGCGTCTAGTGTGGGTCTGCTGTCCTGACGGCCTCTCTCTGGGGTCAGATGCATTTACCAGCCGTCAACAGATCAATAATCCATCTCTCAATCCGTCTCTATATGTGCCGAGTGCAGATCTGTTCATTACAGTGAGTGTCTGTTCAATCATCAGCACCGTTGTGTTGTCTGACCGTGATTAATCAATCATCTTCAGCTATACAGTGTGTGTTTGTTTGTTTGGTTCTTGCTGACTGGCAAATGTCCCCAAAACAAAATGAATTAAATATAAATTTAAATTAAATTGATCCAAATTGAACATACAGAAAGTATAAGTTAAATAAGTTATTCAAATAATATATATGATGGCATAATATGAGTTATGTTTGTGTTGTTGTTTGTTTGCCTGGCAAATGTCCCCAAACTGTTGAATCAAATGTAGATAAGTTAAATATTAAATTAATAATAAAAATTCTAAGTAATATGAGACACTTTAATAGTTAAACTTAATTCCTTCCTATATTAAATACATTTTAAGTATATACTTAAAGCTTAAAAACTTGGTAAATATCCTTAATTTATGATCCCTATTATTAAATAAAAATTTCAATTAAATAAAATTTATAATTATAAAAATAATACAATTAAATAGAATGTAATTTAAAAATAACATTAAAATTAATTATTTAAAATTAAATGCAAATAAATAAAATAACAAAATATAAAATAATTAATTAATAATAAGTGGCCAGTTAAAAATTCCTGTAATGTTAAAAAAAAAACATTAAATGTAATTTTTTAAAATACTTTTATTGTAATATTTATTTTGAAATTAATAATATATAAAGCATGTTTAACTTGATGTATACACTATTTCATTTAATATTAATTTAAAGTAAATTTTATCAAATTAAAAGTAATAAGTAATAATTTAAATGATAAAAAATAAAACAGTTTAATTAAGCTATTCATTGTTTAATTTTAATGAATTAAATAATAACAGTAATAATAATATTTAGAATTATTCCTATAAACATAATTAAATTTGACAAATGAAAATTCTATTACATTGAATTATTATATTATATTAATATATTATATTATATTTATAATTTGAATTTATTATTATATAATAAGTTTTGATATAAACCCTACATAATTAAATATAATATTATAATATAGTTCCTCATAATCATCATTATTATTATTTATAGTATTTGTAGTAGTTGTGGTGGTGGTGGTGGTAATATTACCACCATGACAAAAAAATCAAATGTGTTTGTTGTTTGTGTTTGTCGTAGTCTGGCTGTGAATAATCGCTTCTGTAAAATCGAGTGAATAAATGAGCTTTTGTGGCCTCTGGATTCTGGGCTCCAGCCACGCTCAGCATCACATGCTCTCATTGACTACTGTTGAACCTACTACTGATATCTGTAGACAACATGCCATTGCTCACTACAAAAATCTTTACTGCAAAATATACATTTTTGTTTTAGTATTTGAAGAGTGTATAGGAAGATTATGTAATTTGAATCATTTCACTTGAGTGGGTGGAGCTAAAGATTTCTTGGTGCACATTTCTTGCAGTGATTAGTGGGATTTTAGACATAGGGCCTTAATTAAAAAAAAAAAAAGATTAATTGGCTTAAATGTAGGCTGA